GAGGTTAGAAATATTGCGTAAAAAAATGAGGTATATAAATATCCGTATATAAGGAAATATTGAATATTAAACTTGAGCAAAAATTTTATTGAAAATAATGACTTGACATGTTTAGGTAATATTGTATTGTATGTGACGATATTAAAGGGAATTAAAAAAGTTTTATTTATATACTCTTATTGGGAATTCAAAACTCAGGACAAAAAAGGAATTAAAAAGGAATTCAATTTTTTCAATACTTTCTAAGGCTGGAGTCCCATGGTAGCGTTTTGCGTTGCGTTTTGTAACTAGGCAATGAGTGTGAGAGAGATACAGATATAGGTTTGCTCTATTTGCACTCATTGCCTAGTTACAAAACGCAACGTATAACTCTACCATGGGACTCCAGCCTAAGGCTGGAGTCCCATGGTAGCGTTTTGCGTTGCGTTTTGTAACTAGGCAATGAGTGCAAATAGAGCAAACCTATATCTGTATCTCTCTCACACTCATTGCCTAGTTACAAAACGCAACGCAAAACGCTACCATGGGACTCCAGCCTAATGCAAGCCTTTTTACTAGGATATTTGGCATATTTAACTTTGACACATTTCTTCTACATTTAGTTCTCTTCTTTTGACACCACAAAAAAGTTTTTGCTGAGCCTATATCACAAATTGGTACGATAGTCAAGTATATGTTCGTATACTTGACTGCGACTTATATGAAAAGATGGCTGACATTAGTAGCAAGAATTTACGTACAAAGATAGATGGCGCTAGTGTGGTAAAATGAAATAAACGTGGTGTCTCAACCCTAACTACTGCCCAACCCTGACAACTGTCCTCTATGTAGTTGAAAAGTGTAAATTAAATTATTAAATTCTTTAATATTTTAAAATTTTTATTTTAAATAATAGTTCAGAATCGTATATAATCTTAATCTTATTCACAATAAGAATTTGCGAGATCTAATTCTTTTTCCAGACCACATTTTGTCTAGGAACTTACTCTTTACATCTGAATTAGTAAAATTCTACTAACAAACAGTAAAATTTTACTATGTAATTGTCAATACACGGAAAAAAAAGTACGTGAATTTTTCATTGACTCGGTACTTGACTTTTGGATACGACACAAAATACTAAAAACAGTCTAGTACTTTTGCATGAGAGTTTCAAAAGCAGTCAATGAAAATTTCTAGTACCTTGCTTGAGAATTTCATTGACTTTCAAAAAAATTGTAAAATAAAAAAAATAATTTCCACTTGTTCACAGAGTTTTTCTGAAATTCACTCATTCATTCACATATTTAGATAATTAATCACACAAACAAAGAACAATTATTGTATCACTTTTCGACGTTCATCAACACTTATGAACTAACCTATAACACACACATATATTCGCGTATAACCTAAATATAAACACACACTTAACACTTAAAAGTACGTATCGAATTGTTCTTATATACCACATGGTGAAATTTTTCACGACTTCTGAGACATGCTATTTCACTGAAAACTGAGACTTACATAACATTCTGTTTTGTGAGAAACACAAAACAAAAAATATTTTTTTGAAAGTCAATTCTTGAAGACAAATATATATTAACACTATTTGTTTTTCATAAAATAATAGTATATTCACATCTGAAATTAACACAAACGGAAACAGACGATCAGCTGGCATTTACCTTGGGTAGAAACGCGCAACGCACACTGCGCATGCTCTACAGAATTTTCAAGCGCAGTCAACTAATCTTTCACGTACTTTATAAATCTGAACAAATGACTTTTCGTTAAAATTTAAAAAACACTGTTGCCCATACTAGTACTAGAATAATTCTAGGACTTTCTTATATTTTCTAATAAAAAGTATATAGAACAGCCTTGTATTTTGTGTCCTATCCAAAAGTCAAGCACTTTCAAGGAAGGATTCACGTACTTTTTTTTTCCGTGTAGTTTTTATGGATAACGTTTTCTCTTTTTGATAAGTAGAAACTGGCGAATAGAACTAATTGTTAGTGAAATATTACTAATTTTTTAGTAGAATTTTGCTGATTGCTATGTATCTAATCTACTAAATGAATTAGTGAAATAGTTTAATGGACTATTAATAAACCAGTCCTAATTACTATAATTGTAATATTATTAATTGTTAGTAATAATTTTACTAACAATTAGTAAAACTCCACTAATTTCTATTTCAATTATTACTAATTCAGATTTAGAAAGTAAACAAATAAAAATTTAAATCTTGGCATCATTGATTACTCGTATTTATAGCGCAACATTTCAATTCAAGAAGATATAACAAAGATATAACAAAAAGATAAGATATAACATAATTTCAACTAAAAAGATATAACAAAGGCGTTTATTAAAAAAATATTTCTTTGTTAATCATATAAATGAATGAATTAAGTTAAATATAATAAATTAAGTCTCATAATAATACACGGAGAGAAATTTAAGGGAATCAGTGATATAGACAGTCGTAGTCATTACAACAGAACTATTGTAAAATAAGGTGAACGGCTGTCTTGCCTTCTTATTTTACTATAGTCATTTGTAATCAGCAATATTGCTACCTTGCAGTCACGGAATACGATATGCCGACTCAAAACACTAACTAACTAAACCAACTAATTAACTAAATTGACTAAACTAACTAGCCTAACTAACGTAAGTTACGTAACTAGAGTAATTTATTAATTAAAATAACTTACATAACTACTACAAGTTACAGTAATTAGGTACGTAACTTACGTAACCTGCGTAACTTACGCAACTAACGTAATTTGAGTAACTAAAGTAACTTACGTAACCTAACTAACGTAGGTAACTAACTTACTTACCAATGGTCATATTGTAAAAAAAAATTTTCACAATAGATATGTTATGCGTTTTAATATTTAAGTTATAGATTTAGGTACTTAGGGTTCAATAAAATTGTCTAGTTTAAAAATATAATTAATCTTGAAGTTCGGAGTCTTGGAAGAGTGAAATTAATGTGCAATAGATGATTAGAAGTCGCTAATTAAAAAAAGTTTTATTTTAGTTGAAAATTATCTTCTTTTACTTTATAACAGTCATTTGTAATCAGGAATTTAGCAATATTAGTCTCTCTTATTTTACAATAGTCCTGTTGTAAATGCTACGACTGTCTGTATCACTGATTCCCTTAAACTGCTGCTAATGTGAATAGAATCCAAGATTTCCTTTTAATGTATAAACTATTGTAATCAGTCACACAGACTTTGTCACCTATATTTAGTTCGTATTTATTTCAAATAAATTTTTAATGAGTACATTCGACTTACAGAATAGTTAAAACGAAGCACTTTAAGCATTACAAAAAGTGGTCATATATCCGAACAGTAATGTTCGACTATTGCAATCATTAACAGAAAATTTTTCTCCGTGTATTTTAATTCTTTTTCTAGTTTTTAAAAATATCGTAGTGAGCCTCGGTCTCGTGAAACTTAGTATCGATATCGTCTCGTTTTTTCTAAGATTAGTCTCGGTCTTCGTCTCGAAAAACCGAGACGAGACTGACACCAGTCTCGGTCTCGTGAGTAGCACTAATTGAATCTGGATTTGGTGTTGCCAAAAACCCGTGAGTATTTTTAAAATTCATCAAACATTTTGAGTTTTTGATTAAGTTAAATTCAAATTAAACATTTTGAATAAAATAGACAAAGTCGCAAAGGTGGCACAACTTACTTCCGCCCCACAGTGGGATAGATTCCAAATCTAGGTAGACAAAATACCAAAAAATGAAAGTTGATCAATTAATGTTAATGCATAAGGAACATAATCTCAAGTATTTTTTAGAAGGGTCCTGAAGTCTAGGAACCCAAAAGATTATTTTATGTAGCTATATTTATGTCTAAACAATGTGTTTTTGCGAGTATCTAATTTTTCTTTGATTTTCAGTTTTCGATTGAGACGTGTTTAACATTCAATGCTTTGAAAAATTAGAGATTTTTTTAATGTTATAGTTTATTGTATAACTTAACTATATTGTTTTGTTCATTTCCTGTTTTATAGTTTATTTTATAATATATAGTTAAAACCATTGATTGCAGTTAGTACGTACCAAATGAAATTATACATCGATTAAAAAGTATAGAAATGAAAATTATTAAACTTTATTAATGTTATTTTCACATTTTCTGACAACTAAATATGTAAAGTTAAAGCACAAAAAAAATTATTGATTTCTTTTGATTACTTTGTCTTATATTTGACTTTAAAGATTACATTACGGTTAAGGTTATATTTATTACTCTTTAAGAAATGAATCTGACTAACAGTCATGCTTTTTAAAATTTGTTTCTCATATTGGATTCGACATTTTAAAAATGTAAAAATTAACTTCAAATTCGTTATCTGCTACATTGGAAGCCTTTAGATACCAAATTTGAAAAAAATCTATTATATTTTTCAAAGTTCATCCGCCATTTTGAATTTTGAAAACCTAACTTCACATTTGTAATTAGCGACCTCAAAAACCCATAAGTGCCTAGTTTCAAGAAAATCTATTATGATTTTAAAAAATTCATCCGCCATATTGGATTTGCCATTTTGAATTTTGAAAAACTAACATCAGATTAGTAATCAGCGACCTCGAAAATTCTTAGTTATAAAGTTTTATAAAAATCTATTCAAAAACCACTGAAGAATTAATTTTGTCTATCTGGATTTGCTATCTATCTCACTGTGCGCCCGTATATCCAATTCCCTTGACATATACTCTCAAGAGGTTAATTTTTTGCAAATCAGTAATATAAATTATAAAATTTATTTTTTGTCAGACAATCGTCATTTACAACTTGTCATTTCTGTCTTCTTTTCTTCTTTTATATTCTCCCGTTAATTTGCAATCTAAATTTTCTCTAATTTATAAGTGTCGTATATAAAAATAAGCATTACTCAATGCATATATGTATATTATGCTTTATGCAATTATTGTAACTTGAATCGTGAATGTACATAAAGTTCTATAAGTGAATCCATATATAAAGTAGAAAGTAAAGAACAAAACTGGTTTCACCGATAATCTCAGTCCTTGGCTGTCTGTCTTTGCGAGAAGAGTTGAATTTTTAAAAAACTTTTGATAAATGCGAAATCTTATCAATCACACCCAAGATGTTTGAGAAGCATTATCTTTTCACAGTTTGTGTATTTAAGTGAACAATTTATGTGATTTGTGTTACAAAGTGGCTATTTTAACAATAATAGAAATAGTGATTCTACAAATTGGAAACTATAAACGTAATTGTTAAATTATCGAATTATTAACTTTCTCTCTTTTGGAAGAATTTATGAATCAATGAAGCATTGTTTTTAATTTTCTTACACTGAAAAAATTCTTAGTAAATTTGACTACTTTTTAACTACTTTCCTTAGTTCAATAAGACCCCAAAGATATTTTGGACCTTACATTAATTATTAGATATGTATTAGTTGAATGAAGTGATAACACAGTTGAATTAACTACTTTTCTGAGTTAAATAGGAACCAATGACAGTTTTGCAGTAAAATTAGCTGCTGATTTGTAGTTAAAGTTACTAAGATTAACTCAGTAGTAAAGCAACTACTTAAAATAGTAAAATAAAATTATTTATTATAAATATTATTGAGTTGTATTTTTTTATTAACCCCTACTTGCTAAATACTTGACGACATTCCTGCACACAGTTCAACTGACAACTAGTTAATTTTACTACTTAAAGTAATTGCATAATTTACAACTTTTCACAGTTGGTACTCTTCTAAAACTCTATAACAAAAATTACATGCAAAATTATTCAACTGCAGCAAGAATTAAAATCTACTACAAAGTTACACTCAACTCTACATATAAACTGATGTTGGATCCTATCGAACTACTTTAAGTAGAAGAAACTATTACTTTCTGTAGTTATTTCTATATAACATACCTGCAGTTACAAAATTAACTACAAATTTACTTTAATTAAATTAATAATTTTTAACTACATAAAATAGTTAAAATAAGTATGCAAAGAAGAACTAAAAAAGTAGTCCTTTTTATTACTTTTTACTTTATTAAGGGGATGTAGTTGAAAATGCCCCATGAATTTTTTTCAGTGTAATATTATTAAATCTGCACCAGTAAAAACAAAATCAAATTTTTTAAAATGTATCTGCAAAACTTTTAAAATTTTTTAAAAATTAATTCACAATCAGTAAATTATAGAATAGTATATTAATCAACAAGAGGATAAAGGTAGCCATTTCTTTACGGTGATTTTTGTGCGACACGAGTGGAGGTCGAGGGCACCCCGAGACCTCCACTCGTGTCACAAAAATTATCGTAAAGAAATTGGCTGCCTTTATTCTCGTGTTACTTACGATTTTTTTTTATTCTTAATGCATAAAAGTGTCGATTTCAGATAGCAGACGACAGGGAGTAAAAGTCATTCACTTGTTCGACTTGTATGAAAATGGCGGCCGTTTTCTCCCATGAGCAAGAAAAACGCATAGGAACAGCTGATTTTCTTGTCCATGGGAGAACACGGCCGCCATTTTCATACGGTCGAAGAAATGAATGACTTTCCTCCCTGTCGTTTGCTATCAGAAAGCGCCATTTTTGTGCATGTGGGATAAAAATATTATTTAATATAAAAGATTCTTTTAGAGTAAGTAATGGTATTTTTCAAACATTTGAAAATAGGAATAATAAAATTTATTTTTATTTAAAATTATTTTAACTGTGCTTTATGATCTCTGTTGAAAAAAGGATCATAAATATCGTTTTTACATTCATTTATAGAAGGGAACAAAAAATGGAAAACTGTCTAGCACAGATGACTTGTGGTGCAACTGGAGGTGGAAGTGCAGGATTACTTTTTACACATCTTATGCAAACACTTCTGGCAGCACAATGCGCTCTAAATACCGATAATCTTTATCCTCCTGACAGAACATCAGAAATTCTTTCCAAAAATGTTGATTTTGATTTTATAATAGTCGGAGGTGGAACTGCAGGTTCTGCTCTTGCGAGTCGTCTTTCGGAAAATAAAAATTGGAAAATACTTCTAATCGAAGAAGGTAAAAATCCATCTGCCGTTAGCCGTATTCCAGCATTTATGTTTTCCTTGTATAAAAGTGAGGAAGATCATGGTTACAAGACAGAATCAAGTGATGATTATTGTCAAGGACAAGTTGATAACAGTTGTCATTGGGCGAAAGGTAAAGTACTTGGAGGAAGTTCCGCTATTAATGCGATGCTCTATATTCGTGGAAATCACAGAGATTACAACCAATGGTCAGAATTGGGAAATAAAGATTGGAGTTATGATAAAGTTTTGCAGTATTTTAAAAAATCTGAAGGTTACACACCGGAATTTGTCGCTAAAAATGGCAAAAAGTACTTTGGCACAGGTGGTCCATTACGGATAAGGAAATACAATTACACAAGTACTTTGTATGCTGATGTCTTCTTGCAAGTATGAAACATTTTGTTTGGTTAAGGGGTTACGTACAGTTAGAGCTTCAAAAAAAGCTGTTTTTTAGGAATTTTTTGTGGCCACACATTAAAATAATTAATAACAAATCTTTTTTCACATAAAATATATATATTTCAAGAAAATTTTCTGAAATTATAGTCCATAAATATAAAGAAATATGCGAATGATAGAACATTTGCGTGAGCTCTTTAAGTAAAAATGGTTTCGCGGTGATCACGCTATCTCTTGACTGGATCATCTAAAATCAAATCGTGAAGAAGAAATCGTTAGGTAATGATATAATGCGGTACTTGAACGAAGGGATTTGAAAAATTTTGATTTTTCGCAAAATGGCGAATGTTGAAAGTCAAAAATTTTTTTTTGACCAAAATTTTACTCACATTTTTGGCTATAAAAAAAAATTATTGTCAAAAGAAAAATCCTTCGTTCAAGTACCGGCCAATCATATAACAAATAAGTGGTAAAAATTTTAAACCGATCGGTAAAGCCGTTCTCAAGTTACAGTGATCACCGACTCCCAAAACATGGTTTTGAGAAAAACGAGTTCAAAGTTTTGAATACCGCCGCCTGGCCACAGTAACGGCTGAGACGGCTCAATTCAAAATTTTATATCTCCATAAATAATAGTCCGATTTGTCTCAAATTTTCAGAGAATACTTTTGAAATAGTATACTTTTAGAAAATGCATTAAAAAACATCGATTTTTTGAAAACCCTAAGTGTACGTAACCCTCTAACTTTCATTTTGGTAAAATCCTAATTTTTACAATTGCTTTCTGAAACTTCAGTTTTCTTTTTATCTACTTCCATAATTTTGTATTACCCTCGGTTCTTAGTTTCAACTCTGTGAATAACCATCAAATTGATAATTAAATTTAAGAAGAATTTTCAATTTACATAAAGATGTAGTGACCTGTAATAGCATTCAAATTTTTAGGCTGCTCGCGAATTAGGAATTCCGATTTTGGATACTTTTAATGGAGAGACACAAATGGGTTATGGAAATGCTGATGGTACGATTGATAATGGATTGCGGTATAGCGTGGGAGAAGCATTCCTTTCGATAGCAAAGGACAGAAAGAATCTCTATCTAATGAAATCGACAAAGGCGGAGAAAATCATCATGTCAGGAAATAAAGCATTTGGTGTTCGATTGAAATTGAACAACGGACAAATTTTCGAAGCAAAAGCATCTAAGGAAGTAATTCTATCAGCCGGAAGCATCGCCACTCCGCAAATATTAATGCTCTCTGGAATAGGTCCACGTGAACATCTTCAAGAAATGGGGATTGATAGTATCGTAAATTTACCAGTAGGACAACACTTAGAGGATCATATCACGAGCTATGGGGTCTTATTGACATTCCATAATGTAACCGGTGTTCCAGTAAAACCTACCTACATGCTAGACGAACTCTACAAACTTTTAGTGCATAGAACTGGTGAGTTTAGATATGACATTAGGAAAATAATTTACAATTACCAAATTTCTTATTTATTTTACTTCATTTTTAAATTTAAAAACGTAATTTCTTCTCAGGTGACTTTGCATCAATCGGCGGAGCTCAGCTCTTGGGATTCGTGAACGTTCATGATAAACTTGCCAAATATCCAGACATTCAGTACCATCATTTTCATTTACCAAAAGGGCAGTTCCCGCAATTAGAATCTGTAATTAATGCTCTGCACATGTCACCCGAAATAGGAAATGAATTAAGAAAATTGCTCCAAGATGATGATCTTATCGCCATATGGCCAACACTTCTAAATCCCAAAAGTTTGGGAGAAGTGAAATTAAGCAGTTCAGATCCAAACGATGTGGTGAAAATAATTTCCAATCAATTGTCTCATCCGTATGATATGGAAACGATGGTTAAATCCATTAAGTTCTTGCGTTCCTTTATAAATACAAAAACCTTCCAAGAGCTTGGTATTAAATTGGTGAACTTAAATATTCCTGGATGTGGTCATACAAAAATGGATTCAGATGAATATTGGAATTGTAATTTTCGTCATACCTGTAATACACTTTACCATCCTGTGGGAACAGCAAAAATGGGTCCATCCGATGATCCGGAAGCTGTTGTTGATACGAGATTAAGAGTTTATGGAGTTAAAAGTCTTAGGGTTGTTGATGCATCGATTATGCCGAAAATTCCCAGTGGAAATACAAATTCACCGACGCTTATGGTGGCAGAGAAAGCTGCCGATATGATTAAGGAAGATTGGAACTACAAAGATGAATTATAAATTTATACTCTGCTAACGAAAAACATTTTTAGTCATGTCTTTTGGGTTGCTACATCTCAGTTATACAAATACTCAGTCTACAAATACTTGGTATTCTTCTGTGTTTTTGATAGATCAATCCGAATGTGACGTAGAAATCCAAAGATTGAAAGTGGATTTTAATTTTTTTAATGAATCTTCTCTGGGTCTCTGGGTCCTAAAATGACTTTAAAATTCAAAATGGCTTTTATAAAAAAAGGGATGAATTTTTTTGAAACATTGTACCTTTATATTTCTTGCGTCATAAAATCCGAATATGACAAAAAATTCAAAATGTCTGATCTAATATGGCAGATTAAAATTATAAAAATGGGTATATTTTCATGAAACTTAGTATGTTTATTATTTTTAGTTCACTAAATACGAATGTAACTTTAAAATTCAAATTTTTAAAATAGCGTACTAAATATGGCGAGTCGTTTAAAAAATAAGTAGATTGTCATAAAACTATTGTAATCTTTATATTCTTCTCAATGAAAATCATGAATTTTAAATTGTTTTTTATGTTTAAAAAAACATTACGATGACAATTAGTATACATTCTCATAAAAATGATCTCTATGCCCAGTAATACCAAAAAGAACTATTTGCTTCTATTATTTTTTTTATCTAAATCAATAAATTTCTAATAAATTAAAAAGTCTTAAATTTTTTAAAACTTAAAAAAACTGTTCTTTATTACATTTAGTTACACATTACAATTTTTATGTTGGATTAATAGCTAAAATAAGTTATAATGTTGTACTATTTTATATTATGTAAATCGTAAGATAGTGTTTTACTTTTAATATTAAAATTATTATTTTCATACTCACATTATTAACATATGTTTTATTAATAACAAAATTGTAAATAATTAAAATTTTCCAAGCATCGAATTTTAATAATGATAATTGTATTAAGTAAACATTTTTATATGTACATAATTTGAATATATAGATCAGTTTATATACTTGGATATATTAAAATGTTGCTACATGTGTAAAAAATGTTACATTTAAAAAAAAGTAAATGAAAGAATAATTTTATATTTATTGAAAGAAATCTCTCTTGCATAAATTTGCAATATTTTAAAAAACAAAATTTGTTTTATTTTACAATAAAATTAGAAATATTGGAAAACTTTTGCTAATCTTGAAATTTATTTTTTTATCCGCTATCTTAAATTTTGAATATTTATGAGTTTGTTTGATTGTTTAACATTATATAATATTTTTTCAGTGTTTTAAAGTTGTTTTTTAATAGAATCTTCTGCTTATTTTTATTTAAATCTTGTTTACAGTCAGTTTTTTTCAAATGTTATTAATTTGTGAAGAAACTTGATGTGATGACGGAAAACTGAGTTCGGATTTGAATTTAGTGACCCAAAAAACATATAAAAAACATAGTCCGGTCAATACTTTCTTTAAAAAAATTTTGTAGCCCTGTGTAATTCCCGACGGTAGTGTATCTCCTTTTATTTCCGAGATATGGTTAAAAAAGTGATGGCATGTTTTTTTATAGAGTCGCGTGTAATCGTCCTGATACTCGTGGACGGTTGTGTAACCAATTTAATAATGTAAATATGAAAATATTTACATTATTAGGTTCTTTAAAGATAGAGATTATTAGTGAAAATTGCTATTTCGAAATCTTGAGTTTAAGGAACACCAAGTGAAGAACCTTTTTGTTTAGTTTTGACAGTCGTAAATGCAATATGAAATACATCTTCCACACTTTAATTCTAGACCAAAGTCATTCGAAAATATTCAGCATTTTCTTTAAATTCTATAAAATAATTAATTTGCTTTCAGTAAGATTTCAAAGACAAAATAATTTATTTGACTCAAATGACTTGAATTATTTATATCACATTTATTTGAATCAAATAAATTTTAATTGGGTCAACAAAATAATTAGTTGTCTCTCATAAATATATTTATTAAATACAAATAATGAGTTATTTGAGGCATTTAATTTATCTATTTTACTTAATTAATTGGATATTTGATACGATATATTGGTTAAAATTGAGAGAAATGTATGAAAATTAAAATTTGTTTCTTTTTATTTTTTAAAAGTTAATAAAATTTTGAAAAGAGCAAGATCTTTCAGAAGTAATTTGGCTAATATTTTATTTAGATATTTTTAAACAATCGTCATTTTCAATGTTTTACAAAAAGTTAAATAACTTCTAAAATAATGATTTTCAATTATCTTAGGCTTATCTTAAAGAACATTCTCTACAGTATGAGAATTACTTGTATAGACATTAACGTGTAATTTTTTGATTATAAAATGCAGGTCATCAAAGTTAAACATAACAAATTCAATTTGAAATAATTTTTTTGTATTAAAAACTATTTTACAAAATATATAAAACATGATATGATGTAGATTTTTCAAAAGAATTTAATAAAAAAAGTAGGTTTCAATTTTAAAAATTATTTTTCTCTTAATAAGATTGTTTCAAATTTTTTAAATTCTTTAGGTCCAAATTTGCCAAACAGCATTTTCTAAGAAAAAAATTTGTTATATACAAAATAATTCAAATTATTTGATTCAAATAAATATATAGACCCAAAGAAAAATTATTTGAATCAAATAAATATTTTTCAAATAATTTAAAATAATTGAATTAAATAATTTTTTTTTCAGTGTGCTAATACTTTTACGTATGAAAATGGAAGAACATTTATTTCTTTAATATAAATTTTGTATTTGGACTACATAATTAATTATTTGGCGCAATTAAAAGGATATTAGTCTCAATTAAAATAATAAATTATGAAAAATAATTGCATAGGGTCATTTGGGGTAAATGTAAACAAGGGGTAAATGTAAACAGTAGATGTTTCAGCTAAATTTACAAATTAAAAAATAAGTTCAACGTCAATATTTTTACCTCAGCTCACCTACAAGATGTTCTGAGTATTGCCAATATTTTATTTTGACAATTGGCAATGCCATAGTGTAAGTTATTTTTTAATGCAAAAAAGATTGACAATCAAAATTTTACTGTTTCAGTATTTTGTCTCGCATTTGCATAAAAATAAATTAAAAAATCAAACAAAAATATGTAATTCTTCCTTATTAATGCCCTAACAAAAATTGACTTCGATTTTTGATTTTCGTCAATTTAGTTAATAAATAATTAAGTGTTTACATTTACCCCGAGAATTCGAAAACTCGGAGTAAATGTAAACAGAACTTGAACTACATTTTAAAAGAAAATAATTGAATAAATTTGCTTCTATTTCACAATTTCATTAATTTGGCAATGTAAAATTACATAGAAAAGGAAATTAGGTCCTCTTTGAAAAAAAAATTTGATAAAAAAAAAAATTTTTTTTAAATTTGACCAATTTTTAAAAATATTTTTAGGTTCATCCGCCATTTTGAAAATTTAAAATTTGACTTCAAATTCGTATTCAGCGACCTCAAAAACCCCCTAGTAGCCAGATTCAAGCAAATTTGATCAATTTTTAAAAATATTATTTTTAGGTTCATCCGCCATATTGGATCCACCATTTTGAAATTTAAAAATTCGATTTTAGATTCTTATTCAGCAACCTTAAAAACTTCTTTTTACCAAGTTAAATGAAAATCTATTAAAATTTGTTCAAGTTATTCAAATTTTTACATTACTAGTTTTGTAATGGTTAATTGTTTATTTTATATGATACATTATCAGTCAACTGGTTGATTTACAATACATCTACGAAGAATTTTTATCAGTTTTTCTATCCCTTAAGACAGTAGTATACTTGAAATAACTTGTTTCTTAAACCTCGCTTTACTACAGTGGTGTTTACATTTACCCCGAATTTTAGGAAAATTTCAAAATCTCGGGGTAAATGTAAACAGTCAGTTTTAGGCGATTCAGGTGCATCAATATTTTTTTGAACCTTATACAATTTTTCTAGGGAACTCTAGTAACAAGTTCATGCAAAAAAAATCCGTCCGTTTTACCTTTCAACAAAAAAACTAATGTTTTTGGTGAAAAATAGATATTTCGTTTACATTTACCTCAATTGACCCTATTTGATACAAAAAAATATTTGGTTATTTCAAAAAAATTATTTTATTATAATATAAGAATGTAAGTATAAGTACATTTTTTAAATAGGCTGCGTGAACTTAAAATAAATATATACTTATACTTAGGTACATTCTTATATTCTTTAAATGAACATAAATAAAAAACTACGTGTGAAAAAAAAATTTTTTGGTGGAGAGGAACTAAAATTAACTATTTGTTAATTAATAATGTTTATAACAATTTAAATAAGTTATTTTTTTAACAAGGATAACATAATTATATTCTTTAAATGAACCTAAATAAAAAAGTAAAGGCGAAAAAACCTTTTTTAGTGAAAAGGAATCAAAGTTATCTATTTGTTAATTAATATTGTTTACAACAATTTAAATAAATTATTTTATGTTTTATTAATTGCTTGGTGATCATATTGGATTAATTTGAACTGATTTAGATCATGTGCAGTAACGGAATAAGAATATAAACGTCCTTTTTGCTTCCTCATAAAGGAAGCCTTATAGTGATGTCGATTTCCGAATTTTTTAGAACCAATTATTTTTACAAATTTTCAAGTGTAGTATATATAATTCGTCGAGAGGAACAAATGTCCGGATGTATGTGTGTATGTATGTGTGTGTGTGTGTGTGTGTGTATGTCACCGATTCTTGTGGACAAATTTTCTCTTACACGTCTTGACGGATTTTGATAAAATTTTGTAGGTGTATTACGGTCACGAATACCAAAAATCAGACAAAAGGATTTTCAAAAATATCTAAAAAAAAAAATTTTTTCAACAATTTTTTAATTTTTGAAAAAATTAATTTTTGGATTTTTTGAAATAACTTTTTTCTATATTAAAATTTTTATTAATTCTTGTCAAAATTGCATTCCTGACATAAAAACGAATCGATTCATGTATATAAAGTATATATTTTATCAAAATTTATAGAATTAATAAATGTTTTAAATTTTCACAAAAAATTGAAATTTTGTATTTTTTGACATTTTATCTTAACACTTTAAAATAATTATTCTAAAATAAAAAATTAAACAATTGGTATATATTATATTGAGGAAGCTTAATGATCATGAAATGAACAACTTGTTTTAAATTGTATTGATTTGTTAACTTTGAATAAATTAAAAAATTATAAACAATTAAAATCTCAAAAATCGGCCTCGAGGGATGTCTTAAGAATTTATTTCCCTTTAATTTAAAACAAAGAACACTCAAATCGTTCAAAAATTGTAGGCTGTAGACATTTTTTAACAGTAAAGTGTAAGAAATTCCCACTGTGGGCGCGACAATAGCGCAGTGCGCGCGGTCACAAAAATATTAATAACTTTTGACCTAATGCAATATACTGACTTTTTTTTAGAAATACTCGTGATAAAACAAGGAATCATAATTGACAAGAAAAAATACGAAATTAGTCGGAGAAGTTTATTTTATTTCTATTTGTTTATAATAATTGT